ATTCAACAAGTGCCTGGACTTTTCTCCTACTGTCACTCTCTCTTTCAGCGCTCCTTATTTTTGAGAGCACACACTCCCTCGTCTCCGTTGATAACAAAAATTAAAACATCAGTTATCCTGTGTGGACCATACATACAGAAGAAAGGAAAAGCCGTCGACTGTTGATGGTTCACAGTTTTACTGGAGCTTAATCTCAGTGTTGTTTTGGAAACTGACTGCGGCTCAAACAGGTGATAACTTCCAGTGGCAGTGTGTTCTCCACGTTCTCCACGTTCTCCAATCAGCATATCTGAAATGTCACAGCACCATTTTGAAGCGAGGTCACAGCGATACAAACGGTCCAATATTAAACCAAATCAAATAGAAGATGTCGGCCACCAAAACATGAATAATCTGCTGCACTTAGAACAAAGACGTGAACTTCACACAAACCGTTCAGAAAAGTCACAAACCTTAAACCAAAACCTCATTTTTTTTAGATGTGCAAGGTCGAAAATCAACAAACTTTTGGCTTAGAATGTGCCTCAAATATTTAAAATTTTAATGCCAAAATAAAATACTTTGTCAACATCTTTAAAAGCTAAGAGAAAAACTAAAAGCTAAGCATACATTGAATGATGATGTGAACACATACATGTTTCTCAGTGTAATTAAAGTTGTTAGATGATGTCTGCTCAGTGACACCACAGTGTATTGAACATCACAGAGTCCAGGTCTTAGTGCCCTGTCAGGAACAGAGGTGCAGTAATGGACAGGATTAGTGAGTGACTGTCAGGAAGTCACATACAGCCTTTCAGTGCTCTTCACATAGGTGTCTGACTTTACACTGATGTGACCTTTTGACCCAGTTATTAACCAGCCCTCAATCAAGGTCCAGCCGTCCATATGTGTAACCTGTTGGCTGTACTTTGGGGCTACTAGGATGCTAACCTATATCTTTTTTGGTTTACTTTAATTTCTTTGTCCATTACCTTAAAGATTTGCAACTTTGTAACTATATGTTGCACATTATTATTTAGATATGTGTTATATCCAGTTTGCCTTCAATGCATAGGACTAGAATGTTTTAAAGATTAAACTAAAAACAAAAGTATATATATTTATATTTATATTATTATACACAGTATTTTTTATCTTTCAGTCAAACATAAGCGTTTCCCTCTATCTTAAAAAAGCTTTGTTTGAAAGAATGTAATCAATCTAGTTGTCAGCGTGTTTGTCACTTCAGCTGTTACAGAAATTTGAGCTACTGCATCAAAGCACCCACGGGATTCATTGTAGACTATTTTAGTCTATTACTTTGTAACTCTTCATGCATAATTATACATTTTTAGACAGAAATTTCAGAATAACATCGTATTTACCTACATGATTGACAAACAGCCTGAGCCACTCATCAAACCACGAGGATTGAAACGATGTTTTATAGAAAAACAGCTCCCTCTAGCGGCTAACACGAGGAGACGTAGACGTGCTTTTTTAAAAACAATAATATATAATATATCACTTCTGTATACGTATTGTAATTATGACTCCTCCCAACCACAGCTAACAGAAACTGTAACAGAATACACTATAAAAGAGCTATAAATCCCTGCGCTCCAGTTAACTTTTGTTGTTATCTTTGAAAGTGATAGGACAGATGGACAAAAAGACAGATGTGGCTTGTTTTAACCCGTGACTCAACCGATCTACATCTTGCTTTTAAAGCCCTGCAGCTTTAGGCTCCCCTTATACAGAAATGTCCTGGACAGCAACTGTTGTTTAGCCCACACTGGATAATCGCCTTCTATTATTACACACGCTATCAACATTTTCCTCTCATTGTTGTGGTTGGAGGATGAGATTTATGCCTGGAACGTTCTTAACCAGTTCACGAAAAGTCAACACAATATACGTATTTGTTTTAAGAAATATTGTTACGTGGTATATTAAAACAAAGCCAAAAGACTAAAAATAAAAATAACTAACTAACTAAAATGTACTTGATTTGTACCTAACAAGAGAGACACGTCATAAACAGGTATTTTTTTTATCTCTTAAACGTTTGAGTGACTGAACCAAGTGATGGAATGTATGGAAAAACACTGTTCTTGTAGTAAAATATCCAAAGAAGCTTTCCCTCTTGTTTCCATTTGTTCCCATTTAATTGCACTCCATTGAGGATGTGTTCTTTCTCTCCTTAAAAGGACATATCCAGGAATGTCAAAGGGAGCGTCTTTGGAAGTCACCATCTATCCACCGGGGGCGTTGTCGGCTTTATGTGCTATGAAAATGTTATTTAAAAAACAACACTTTTTTTTTACTAACGCACACTTTGAGTTGTAACATTAGAACAAAAGTAAAAGACCAATTCATTTGTTTTTTGTACGGTAACGACAGTTTGTGGTTTGTCCAGCGCCCCTATTACTGCACAGTTGGTTTGCTCTGATGTTCTGTGCGGAACCAACATTATCATGAGGAAGTGAAGGGCGGTGGTTTATCAGAGGAGCAGCACCGGGGTTCAGCTAACAACACGTCAGGTTGTAGTCAGGTAAGACAGTATTTTCTTTAGTTTTAACGCTTTACTTTCAAGTTTTAGCTACAACATACATGTAATACCAAACAAACACTTACAACCCTTTGTAAAACCCAAACCGTGTCAATCAAAAACGCCCCGTCGT